TATATATATATATATATATATGAATGATATACACAAACACTCAGCAGTTCTGGTATGCAGATTTTAATTTCTACCAAAAAAAGATTATTTTAGATTGAAAGACTAACAGGTGCCAATGTGTTTCAATATAACACCAAGATATGCAAAGAAGCTCATCATCTAATAAACCATCTTGTTAGTCTTTAAGGTGCCACATAGTCCGGTATTATATATATATATATGAATGATATACACAAACACTCAGCAGTTCTGGTATGCAGATTTTAATTTCTACCAAAAAAAGATTATTTTAGATTGAAAGACTAACAGGTGCCAATGTGTTTCAATATAACACCAAGATATGCAAAGAAGCTCATCATCTAATAAACCATCTTGTTAGTCTTTAAGGTGCCACATAGTCCGGTATTTTGTTTCATATATATTTGGGTCATCCAAAACATCCATTGATTAATAACGCTGGTGCTAGATGAATTATTTTAAGCTTCAGCCGCTGTTTGAAAGATCAAGGGACGAGTGCTATGGGTTCTTGTTTTCTACCTACCATACTGTGTGGTTTCAGAATATAACCCAAAATATTAAACAATGGGTCTTTGGTGACTTAATGAAATGAATTGATGGTTTGAGACCAATGCTGAGTTAATAATCATCTATAGGCAAACCATCACAAATGGTATCCTTGTTGACAATCTCTGCAGAGGCCAAAGACCACCTAGACCCAGAGTCTTGAACTGTCCTCTCACATTTAGAAATGATCCTTCCAAGACAGCATGGACATAAACTGATGGCGCAGTAAAACTTGCAGTTCCATTGTCCACACTGAATCAGACCTGTAGATAAATAGATGAGGGAATACTCTACATGTCAAGCTGTAATATTTCAGAAATACAAAATTTATTTTTCCCCCAAATATGCTGTCAAAAGTAAGTTGCCTACAGAATAGTTATCACCTTGAGGGTAAAGTGCAGTGAGTATGAGAGAAAATGAGAAGGGCAGAGGATGGCAAAAAGAATGACACGTAGAACTGTTTGTATTAAGGACAGCCATTAATAACTGTCATTGACGTAACTTAAGAATTCACAATGTAACAATTGAACAAATTATTGCTATAACTGTAATTATCGCTGTATTGACTAAGCTTTGGAAACCTTTTACTCAGTAGAAATACCCTCACTGCAGATAAAAATAATGCAGCCTAAATTTGGTGACTGTTTAGGTAACAAACAAAAGATGACACTGTTGAAGAGTTTTATGTGGGAAATGAAGATCAGTGAGGTTGTCCAGGATTTCAAGAATTGAGATGAGATTAGGAATGTAACAGTTAATCCTTTAACCAGTAAATTGATCCTTATCAGTTCCAGTTACTGGTTAAATTCCCATCAACACCTACAGCCCGCAATGCCGAGAGCCCATCAGGCCGGCAGCATTTAACCATGTTACCGATTGAATTTTAATTGGTTACATGATTAATATTTTTTAAACCCTTTTTACATCCCTGGATTAGCTATATCTAAACTAATCCACCAAGGTAACTTCACCTTTAAAATAATGAACAAATGTACATTAAAGAGCCACAGTAATTCAGCATTAGGCCATTTAACATTGTTATGCAAGTAGTAATGTCTGCCGCTTGCAAACCTGAACATAGCACTGGCTGTCTTGACAGGGAGCAGACAGAAGCAACAAATGTGAAAACTCCATTCTTGTTGATTCTCCTTTCTGATGCCCAAAAGCATCTACTGGGAATGTGCCACACTCCAGCAATCACACACACCTTAGAAGTTCAATTACCATGCTGAAGAAAAACTCTTTTAGTTAAACAATGGAACAATAAAAATGCAAAGATGAATGAAGAGTCATTATTTTACAGCACAGAACTGCATAAATAAGCTGAAATATCACAGAGGTTTGGACTATAGTCCTGCACTATATCATTGCTTTAAAAAAAAGATATGAGAAGTATATTTTAATCTCCTGGAATTCACATGTTGTTCTTTCCCGTTACATTCCAGAGTAAACAACTATAAAAAAATCATAATGTAAAGGAGGAGAAAGATTCACATACTTAACAGTTAATAGAAACATAATAGTCTGAAGACACTGAACTATATATCCTTTTATTAAAGTTACACCTATGATGTTGCAAAAGAGCAATGACAGACTGAGCCATCAGAGGCAGAAGATGAAGTAAGCTAGAATTTATCCACGTACTTTTAAAGTTGTCCTGCACTTATAAAAGTGGTCATGTTCCAACACCTTTTTAAAAATCCCTTTCTTTACCTTTTGATACTTACCCATTCCCAATAAGCATTTATCACTGTAAACAACTATTTTAGTTGAAAAATGTTTGTGTTCAGTCAGATTTTATTCTGCCAACTCTATTTAAAAATCACTTTATCTTCAGAATGAAGTTCTGAAGTCCGAAATTAGAAAAAAAAATCATTTATCCAGCTGAATAAATATTAACTGTGGTATGGCCAACATTTACTAACTACAAACTGAGTCATTGCTTCTCTAAAGACAAATTCTTCTCAGGGGCCAATCAGAGCAAAGGAAGCCTCACCCACAAAACCTTTGTATTAATTTCCACTGAAATATCTTGCTTGTTTGTTTTTAATATTCAGGCATATACACTGACTCAAAAAAGCACTGAGCACAAAAGGAAGACAAGAAGCTTAGCACCTACATGTCATATTTATCGTCATAACCAATTTCTACAATTGAAAATGGGGTTGGAAGAGAATTGAGGGTGCATGAAAGAAAGAGAAAAAACCCAGTATGGTATAAGGAATGGAAAAATAGCAAATAAATAAACAGAACTAACAGACCTGTTAAATCCCATGCATCCGAGGGAGTCTCCCTCCTTTGGGGCCAGATTTTATTACTCTTATCTATGTTAGGGAGAACCTACCTCACAGAAGTACTCACACTGAATTCTATCAGACTACTCCCCACAATAAGTACTACTTAAGGAAGGGTGACAGAATGAGGCACCTGCTAATTAGTTCTAGGGACGTTTATAAAAGGCTTTTGCTGCATCTGTCAACCAAGATTTTCAATAAATGAATGAAACTTTCAAAACTCATTTAAATTGTCTCCCCTCAGTGGGGGGGAGACACAGCCACTGACCTCTGCCAAAAACAATTACAAGGGGGAGACACTCTTTTATCTTTCATCCTGGTGCTGAAGCATAGAACCAGGAGGGGGGCAGAAGTGGAGGAGATCGGATGGGGCCGGGGGTTTAGGAAGGTGTGCCATAGGGAAGGCCAGAGGCAGGCACTAAGCGGGGGGAGGTAAGGGTGCTGAAGGCAGTGGTGCGATAGGAAAGGGATGAAGAGAGGCGTGGAAGCGCGCGGGCAGGGGGGTTGAAGAGGCGAAAGGAGGCTGCGAGGAATTAATGGCAGATGGAGAAGGGGGAGGAAGGGGAGGCGGTGGCAGCACGGGGCAGGAAGCCATGCAAGCCGGAGGACGGGGGTAGAGTCGGAGAAGCCCGGGCCTCTCCCCTCACCTGGCAGCCCTTCTTGTGGTGGAACCCGACCACCACGATGTGCAGCACCGGCCCCCGTTGGCTGCTGGGCGGCGGGGGCTTCTCCCACGTCTCCATGGAGCCCCGCGGCGGCCGCCGAGGAGGAGCTGTAGGCCGGGCCGGGCCCCGCTGCGCGCCCCGCCTCCCCCGCGCAGGGGCGGACACGGAATAAGCCCCGAGCCGGCGGCCCCGGGCGCTCCACGCCCCTGGCCTCTGCTTTCCCCCTCCGCTTCCGCAGCGCCTCAGCCGGCCCGCCCCGGCGGGGGTGGAGCGGGGAGGGGGCGGTGCAGAGCAGCCTCCCTTCCTCCTTCGCGTCCTTCCCCCCTTCCAGCTGCTGGCTGAACCTCGCCTCCCGCTTCGCCTTTGTTCCCGTCCTTCGCCTTCCGACCGTCCTGCGCTCTCCCTCTTCCCAGGCTGCAGAAGGACTCGGGCTGAGAGGAGGGGGACCACAGAGCCCGCCAGGGCCGACTTGTCCATTAGCCACAGTGCCTGGGTTAATTTCTTTTAAAATCAGAAGATAAAAAAAGAACTTTCAGGGTGGAAGAAAATGTTTTAATTTTTTTCTCACATCAGAAAAAAAATGAAACTTTCAGGGCCCACGAAAATCTATTACATTTTGCCTCAAACAGAAAAAAAAAATGTTGACGTATTTAAAGTTGTATCAAAAATAATTTTTAATATTTGTGTTTATGGAGGAAGGCAAAAGTGTCCAGGGTGGCCCTACTATATTCCCCCACACACAGACACTCTCTTTGCTTCCTTTGGAAGCTTAGTCTGTCTGCTTTCAGATGAGGCTGCATGGGGAGCTGTCGAGTGGTTGTTGTAAAAATGGGGATAAACAGTGATACCCTGAAGAGGTTAAAATGCCCACTCTGAAATACTTGCAGTCATTTCTGCTACTTTGGTGATGCTATATATTATTTCAAGGCCTAACATTGGATTTTTTTGTGAGCTCAAAACATCACAACCACCACCTACAAAATAAAACATCAGCAAATAATAAATGTGTACAGGAACATTGAAAAGTAATAAGGCAAGTGACATTTATAGGTGACATCATCAACAGGTCTCTCTAGAGTGCATGGATTACCACAGTCTTAGTTTGCCTTGACAGGTACATAGCTCTGTGCAGCAATCCCCTACTGTTATAGGCATAAATAAGGTTTTATAGAAGCTCAGATACCATTAGGCATACAGGAAGTAGTTCATCATCCACATTTTCCTATCCATGTTGCAATTTTGATTCAAAATTTTGTTTACTTATTTGTGAAGACACTCATAGCTTTGTTTACCAAGATGTTTTGACATAGTCTTCAAAAGTGTCCTCATATGGTGAGAGTTTGTCAAGTAACATCCTTTTTGGTGGTTAGGCTGAAACACAAGCAATTCAAGTGTCTCTCTCTCTATCTATCTCTCTCTCGTTTTTTTTTTTTTTGCTTTGGTCATACAACACTGCTACCTACTTCCTAGCTTTAAAAACTCTGACTTGTCCAATGCTCTTTCTCAGTTTGGCAAGATCTTTGAGGTAGTAAGCTCTATTTGGTTTGACAATATTAAACGTTTTTCGTCCCACAATACCAAATAGGGATGACAAGTCATATTCTGTTAATGCATGCAGTAGGATGTAAGTTGGAGAAGTCAAGAGTGGATGTATCAGAAATTGCATGTGTGGATATAAAGAAATTATCCTCAGTTCTGCTGGTCATTATGTCTGTTTCCATCCATATGTATCTATGTTTTTGGAAAATAGGGAACAGCAACAACCAAGCTATCTGTCTCAAGAGACTTATATCGTATGGTTTCTTTGAAATTTACAAGTAACTGTTGGGTGACACGTTTAGAAACTTTTTCCCATTCAGGCACAGATTTCTTGCATCCAACCTTAGATTCTGTCTGGCACTGTCTTTCAGATGTTTTCACAAAGTCACTGTTGTCACATCTGTCAAAGACTCTTGATTACAGAATTAGATTTGTCAAATCCTTTTAAGACCTGCCTCAAGTAGTCACCAGTTCATTGAATGTGTGTATTTTGTTTCCAGCCATATTTTGTATTACAGCCATGACATCTCTGATGTACAGTGTGGTTTCCTTTTTTCATGCTCTTAGCCTTTCAGCCTGAGCTTTCAGAAGACAGTGTAATTTAGTTTTGTCTGTTCTCATTGTTCCGTCAGCAAGGAAGAGGGACATACGCACAGGTCTTATTGGGTGATTAAACACAATTGCCATTGAAACATTTCTGTATCTTGCTAAGGACAGGTCTCTGTGGAAAACCAGTTCTGAAATGAGCTATTGTGATTGTTTCTTCCTTGTCCTGTCAGCAAATATTTTGATTCTTGATTTCATGACTGGCTTACAGAAAGTACATGTTCCATCAAGTGCACCTTTCACAATCTCTCCACTTGTTCTTTACCAACATCCGCTGTTTGCAGTAGAGGCTATGTTACACATCTGAGTTACATGTAGTACAGTAGATATGTTGGTAAGCACCTCTTGATGAAATTCAGGATCAAATGGGTTCATCATATTGTTGATGACATGGCTGGTAAGAGCTGTAACTTGCTCTTCATTTCTCTTCAGTGCAGAGGAAAGGACTTATTTGTGGACTTTGTCTATACTACTTCTTGTTAGACCTTTTCTTACTCTCATAGTTTTTGCATATTCATAATATGAAGCTGTGTATCGTCATATCTAACACCAATACTGACCTATATATGTGTCAGTCAGTTAAAAAGCTAGTTCCCAATATTTCAAAGTAGGTTGCAAATTAGGATTTCCAATTTGATTGGTTATATTCCTGGAGATTTAATTACTGGCATGATTTAACACCTGACATGAATAATTAAAGATTAATCTTTAATTCCTGGAAACTTCTGGCAACCCTATTTCAAAGGTTAGTACAATATACACAGGCAATTACAAATTAGAACTTTCTACCAAGCAAACTAGATTATATGTTGCATGCACAAAAGCATACAAATGAAGAAACATTACATTATAGTATTCACTTGCATGTATACCTACCCACAATGCAGTACAAGCTTTTTGCTCACAATCTGCTGCCACCTGTGTACAAACTTCAGTGTGAGACTGATCTGGTCAGAACATTTCAATTGAAAATATGCAAAACTATTATAATCATTTATGAGACACTTTACAATTAAGAATATGCAATGTGAAAACATTTCATGTTAGAATACTGCAAAATATTGATATTCATTTTTTTTGCCACATGCAAAACTGCTTAATCATTAAGGCTTTGGTAGCAAAGAAGCTGGGTGGGTCTATGCACATATTATTTCATATAGTGCTGGGGGAAAGAGACAAGGGGCATGTCCCTACCAATGCCCTTGTGCCATTCTCTTTGGCTATGTCAACACTGGTGGGTTCTTGTGCAAGAACAGCCGTTCTTGTGCAAGTATCCTCAGAGCGTCCACACTGCCCGCCTGCTCTTGCTCAAGAAGATTTACAGGATGGCATGGTAAGAGAGGGCGTCTTGCGCAAGAGCTACGCTCTTTTCTAACAAGTGTAAGCCCTCATGTGAATGAGCTGAGTATCAAATCTCTTTTTTTCTGGAAAACCTCAAAAGCAAAGATTCCATTCAAAATAACATCCCATAACATAATCACCTCACATGCTATCACTATAAGTGCACAGACAGTAAAAGAAAGGAATTAGTAGAAAATGCCTTCTTCTTCTTTGTTCCCAAATTGCCTGCGAATCTACAGAAAACATTAAGTCTGTGGAATAATTTACATACAAATTAAATCCCATAGGCGCCTCCCCGCTTCCAGAGTTGAGTGAATTGAACCAGGGATGGGCAATAAAACAGCAGCAGTTCAGGACTGCTGCCTCTATATTTATCTGCACCTTTACAAGTATGGATGATCCATACAAGTATGGCCAGTAACTGCAATCTGCAGCCAGGGGAAGTGTGAATCTCTGTACCTTCCGAGGCACAAGTAAATATGGTGGTATATGGGCCTGCCAAGGGCTAACTTTGGTGGATTGGATCCAGGCCATGGGCTGGTATTTGCCTACCCCAACAGACAGCTGATGTGAAAATCTGTTCTTAGCCTCTTCAGGTAAGATCATGAAAGGTAAAACTTCCTGAAGACAAAAAGAATTGATAATATACTTTAGTAATTACCTCTTTATGTAACATTTTGTATCTTCAAAGTGTTGCTTTATAAGCAATAACTAATTAGGGCTTCCTCGAAAATAGAAGCCTTTTTCGAAAGATCCTGTAAACCGAGGTTTCTATTTTCATTAACTGTTAACTGTTAATATGTAAATACAGCTCATTCCAGGAGGGGGAAGGAATTCAAGGTGTGGCTATGTAAATCTAATTCAGTCAGGGCTGATGGAGGATCAGTGTTGGAATGGAATGTGGTGTTTTGTAAATAATTTGGGGTTGTCGTGGGGGTCACTAATCATGCTACCCCTAAATGTGGGAACTGTAAAACATGACACCAGTGCTTGCAGGAGAGACACCACCATTGTAAGAGGTCTCCGGGGAACAAGCCTCCCCCCTTTCAGAGTTGAGTGAACTGAGCTGGGGGGAAAGGCTAAAGGGCTTGAGTCAGCCTGCTTCACACCTGCCAGGTGTGAGCTGTAAGACTGGTCTCACTTGCCCCTGCCCCCCCTTTGTTTTAAGGACAGATCTAAAGCAGACTCCATGAGGAGTCTTTTTGCTAGTCCAGTGGAAGCTGGAATCCTGTGTCAGTCTGCTAATTTACATCCCTCTGTTGAAAAAGGAATGTAGTCTAGACGTACCCTAAAGGTCAGAACATATTCCCTGAAGTCAATAGCAAAATTGTCTTTCTGTGTTGCAGGATCAGGCCCTCAGTCATTAAGTTCCTCTGTTGAAATCAGATGAAAGGGTTATTTCTAAAATCATTTAAAAATTATTCCAAGGAAACCTCAGAATTAACACAATATCCAGGTAATCAGATTGTAACAATTGACTGATGCCTATAGTTACATAATATTTCTTAGCTTCAACAGAAGTTCTAATATATATAAAATATATTTTAGGGAACAAAAGACTGTAGGGAACAATGTGCACTAGCAGCCAAATTATTAGTTATTAGGTCTTTGCTGTCTCAATTTTTTGTTAGTGTAATTTCAAGAAAGAAAAGTGAAAAGAGTAGGGAGATATGCATTTTTCATATTCAGTTCAGCAAAGAAAGGTAGTTTGAAACTGCTCCTACTACTATGAATTTTGTGATGCAGACATTGGGTAAATCCTAATTATTGTT